GGGGGGCCTGGCAGGAGGGAGTTTTTATAGCCCAAATCTAATGGGGCCTCTGGGTCTGCAAGCTGCCTTGTTGGCCCAAGGGGGGTTGAGTGCTCAGCCTTGAGCAGCACTTGACACAAACAGGTGATAAAGGACCAGATAGAGGGGGGTTTGAGTGCGTGGGCTATCTTGCAGCCAAATCTGTTCAGCCTGCCCTGCAGACAACACAGTTCAGCCTGCTCTGCACCCAACAGGAGGGAGCCTTTGAATGCTTCTCTTGCTGGATGATGAGTCTCGGTGCCTTCCTAGGAAGGGCTCATTGATCATTGGAAAGGGAGATAATTGCTTTTGGGATGAATTAACGAAATCGTCTAGTGTATCAGTTTGACTTCCATGAGGCTCTTGGCAGACTTGTGCAAGGGTTCTTTGTACATACTTAACTAGTCATTTGTCGCTTAAAGCAATGACTAAGAAGTGAAGGACCTGAGGGGGTGGCTTATGGGTGCGTTCAAGGTGAGCCTTGCCCTGGGGAGGAACTTTCTGGCTTACTTTTCAGGAGGAATCTTCCCAGCCCTGAGACCCCCACTGACCACACACAACCTTGTATCTTCCAAAAGGACAACTTACCATTTGAAATGATGATTGTTGAGGGCAACCTTTACACCTGTTTGTTTTTTTTTTTTTTTTAAAGCTAGGCTAAAGTACTGCCATGTTCTTGTTCCTGGCTTGCTTGATTGTTAAAAACAAAATGTTAATTTAAGAAGGTGGATAATTAAAAAAAAATATATATATATATATATATAACAACAACAACAGAAACATAATACATATAAAAAACAACAGAAACGTTACATTAGACAGGAAGGAAATAATATGGTTGGGTAGTTGCTAAGTGCAATTTGTGGTACCTAGGATTAAAAAAATCTCAAATCCTACAGTACTGAGAGTGATTTTCTTGGGAAGGTAATGTGTTAAGGACTGTAGAGAGTGCCTTAGCCTTGATTAAGATGTGAAGTTAAAGTCACTGGGAGTTAAAAACACTGGTTCAGTAACCATCAGCACAGAACAGCCTGTCCCTGCTATTCATGGAGCTCCATGAGGCTGTTTGCCATCCAGCATCCCAATTTTATTTATTTTAGAGAATGTTATTCTGCACCCCCCCCTTCAAGATTTGTTTTTGAGTCATGAAAGTTAAGTGACACCTGTTCTATCCCTCCCATACACACATTTTATCAGTCGATTGATTTTACTTACTACATCTGAAGTGATGGGGATGAAGGTATGGCAGGATGGAGGTCCGGGACCCAAATGTCTTTTCTTTCTGTGGTGGAAATGATACCATTTCTTACATTGGAGAGCAAAATTTTATTGGTACTATCTCCTGGAGACTCACCTAAGAGACACACAAGAAGCACATGAATGGTTTTTAGATCTTTAACACTATGTTACTGACAATACCTCTCACAGAAAGAGAGAAGTCATTAGCAGGTCATTAACCTGATTTGGAACTGCATAACTGGTTTTTTGGCCCTGTCCCAGGAATGACACCTATCCCCACTCCCTTCCGGTTGTGATCCTGAGAGGAAGAATGCAGATGTGACTGCTACCTGCAAGAAGCTTCACAATTGACTAAGAAGCTGAACTGTGAGTCAAGAAGTAATTGATACCTGAAGGGAGGGCTGTGCTGAAGGCAGAGATCCAGTGTTGTGCAGCCTCAGTCCTTAAAGAAGAGGAGGAGGGGCATTTTCCTGGACCTCAGAGGAGGAGATGGTTGTGGGTTTGGGATCAGGAAGTGGTAAGAGAAGAGGCACATGGAAGCACCAATGTTAGTGGCTCCTGTGTTAGCAGATAGCAGAGGCAGGCCTAGTGGGGAAGCTGGCAGTCATGGTTCTAACTAGCTCCTTTTATCTTCAAAGTTCATTCACTCACTTTGCATTTTCACGATTTTTGCACTATCTTTAGGCCACCCATTCCATTATTGGAACTTTTTAAATACCAGTGTCATATACAGAAAACTACCCTCATCCATGATTGTGCTTTCCACAGTTTCAGTTAAACATGGTCAGCTGTGATCTGAAAATATTAAACTGAAAATTCCAGAGGTACATAATTCATAGGATTGAAATTGTGTGCTGTTCTGAGTAGTGTGATGAAATTTCATGCCACCTGTTCTGCCCTGGATACAAATCATCCCTTTGTCCATTGTATCCATACTTTAATTACAAATAATTTTTTTAGTTATCGGATCAGATCAACTGTCAGCCATTGCTGGTGCTGGTATAGAGGGTTGGGCACTATCCATAGTTTCAGGGATTGACTGGGATTTCTTAGAACATATCCCCAGAGGATAAGGAGGGGTCTAGTCTAAAAAGAACTGTTTTGGTTTTTGCCCTTGGTCCTGTCACAGAGCTTCTAAAACCTGAGAAACTTCCTGATAGAGATGTCTTTTGTTACAATGAGTCCTTTAGGTAATTCCTAAGCTGATACTAGTGAGGTGACTTAAGTGGAGGGCCAGCTAGCCTAAGGATGGGGGTCAGACACCAGAAAAGCTAAGCAATTAGAGAGTTAGAATTTTAACCCTGTTCATCTGTCTCCAAGCCAGGCTGTGTAGAGCTGGAGATTAAGCTCTCAACTCAGAAGTTTGATAGGCTTCTAGGTTGGTGAACACAGTTGCATGCCAGGAGGGTGAGGTCCTGTGCTCTTGGCCCTTCTGGACTCTGTCCAATGTATCTCTCCCTCTGGGTGTATGGTTTCCTCTATGATAAACTTCTGTTTCTCTGATTTCTGTGAGGCATCCTAACAAGTCACCAAAACCAAGGGGGTTTGGTGGGAATCCCAGTTTAGAGCTGGCCTCTGGAGTGTGGGCAGTCTCCAGAGATTGAGCCTGAAGCCTTGGGGATC